AGATTGCTGTGAGCTATGACACCTGGCACTCTACCCAGGGTGACAGAATGAAACTCTGTCTCCAAAAAAACAAATATGCTTTGGTGAGGAGGACACTAGCAGGGCTGGAGTGAGAGGCAGGCAAGCAGACATCCAGGGAAGGGTGTAATGTGTAAGGAGGCACTCACTCTCAGGCTCTGACCCTGCATCTGTATGAAGCTAAGAATGAGCACATCCTTAAATATTGTACTTGGACGTCTCACTAGCCCTGGGCACCAGCATCCTTGAGAAACTCTTCGGTGGTTATTCTACATAGTCCAGAAATGATAGTAGGATATGTGCTGTTGGAACTGGCTTTCCTTATCTCAGTGGTAGTTACAGAATCCAGCAGTGGTAGAGACCAGGTGGTGACGCGTGTTAAACAGGAGAAACAAGGCAGGCACAATTATTCCAATGAGCCAAAGGACCATAGTGGTAATCAGAGTGCTTTGACCATCAGGGACCTGTCGGATGATCATGGCAGTTCTAGAAATTACGTAGGTGAGCAGTCTACTAAAAGGCTACTTGACAGATGGAGGCAGGAAAATTCTAGATGTGCTGGGCATGAAGCTACCTGTAGTTGCTATAAGTGGGGATTCATGACCCCTTACCTGGTTTCTGAATACAAGCTAGTTCAGAAGCTTGCCACTCTTTGAGGAAGATCCTGTTATATGGCTACTGGCACGTTCTGTGATTCTTCTTCCTGCAAGGGACCTACAGACATTTACCAGGGTGACAGTGCTACAGGGAAATGGAAATATCCAAGGTTATTAGATTCTGACTATGAGCTGACAGAAAACGAAAATGTCACATTGGCCCAATAGGGAGAGTGGGGGCTCCAGGAGCCAGACAACCATTTGTCCTTTGGGCATTTCTTCTACCTGGACAATACATAGCAATCATAGATATTGAAAACTGGCAGAACTCCCACATCAGTTATCTGATGCAAAAAGAGAGAGTTATTATAGCAGGAAAGAGAAGCCCCAGAGTTGTATTCCTCACCCCCATCAAAACAGCAATCCCACCTTCCTGGGGGGAGTTTCAGAGATTAGTCCCACCACCAGTAACTTAACAGATGCAGAGGTAGTGGTTCCTATCACAGCGTCCCTCAACCCACCTCTCTGGCTGGTGCCAAAGCCAGGCAGGCAAGGAGAATGCCAGCGGTTTTCACAAACACAATCAGGTTGTGATGGCAATGTCACTTGATTTTTTGGGCTGTGGCATCTTCACTGGAGCAAGTGAACACAGCACCGGGTTTGCAGCTACTGCCTGCTTCCTCCCTCCTTAACCCCATGTCCAGGAGAGAAGAAAATGAGAAGTTTGACCTCAGTGGCAGGGCCAGAGGGTACTTTTCCATCTTGTTTCTGGACTACATCATTCAAATGCTCTTTGTCCTTATGTAGTCAGGGAGATTCTTGCATATTCTGGTATTCCACAGGGATGCCATTATGCTAACTGGACTTGGTGAGCAAGTGTAGCATACGTGCCTTCAATACAGGCCTGCCGGAGGGGCAGGTGACAAACCCAACCCTCACAGTTCCAGTGCCTGTCCTACCAGTCTGGTACACTGCAGCAAGTTGAAATAGCATCTCTAAAAGAAAGACAACCATGGCAAAGAAGGAAGCTGCATGGCTGGCTGGTTTCTCTGGATTTCGGACATGCTAACCCGTTTTCTGATAACCACGAAGGCTGCCAGATCTAATTCATTTTCTGGGCACCTGTAGGAAGGCCAGAGAAGGAAAGCTCTTCAGTCGTAGGTCCATGTTGTGGCGTGCCATTTGCACGCGATGATCCAGCAGACCTAAT